TCCTGCATGTAAAGCATACATACAGGCACTCAAATATCTAGAAAGCCTCAAGTGAAGGTTTAAAGGGGAGTAGAGGCTTGCTGAGACACTTCTCCATCTTATCACAAATGATTTCCACATAGGTCAGTCTGGTTTATTTCCATTGTGCTTCACTGAGGGTGATTCAGGGTGTTTTGCGTTTGTATATTAAGCAAGAGTTTCAATAATACAGATTTGTCCATTCAACTGACTGGGAAACTTTTCAGACTCATTAAAATTAAAATACTTGGTAACTGTTGTTAGAAAAAAAAAAAAAAAAGAAAAGAAAATGAAATAAACAAAAAAGAACCCCCTGCCCCAAACCCTCACACTCTTCACTTTAAAAAGACCTTCATAAAAATTGGATTAAAAATATTGTGTAATATCCTGACCAGGTCTGTTCATACTAGCAATTTAAACTCGCCCTTTTTAAAATGACACTAGGGAGCTAGACAAGGCTGTCCATTATCCTCTTTTCTTTTTGCAATTGTAATGGAACATTTAGCCTGATTTTTCAGCAACTAGGAATTGCTTCAAGGAATGAAAATTGGAAACTCCATAAATTTCAGTTTGTTGTATGCAGATGACATATTGATTTGCTGCTGTAATCTTGTTCATAATCTGCCTATAATCCTGCAAACAATGGATTGGTTTTACATTGGCTTCTTTGCAGCTACAGTGATAAAACCTGTTTTCTTAAAATGAATGTGCAGTTTCAGAACCTACCTGACCAAAATATGATCCGATGAGACTAGATTAAGCTAGATATCTAGAGAAAATCATATGTGAATCTAGGAGCCACATATAACTAATAACCTCACTTCCCTGAGTAAAGTTTGAATTGCTCTATGTATGTCCTTAATTTTCTTTAAACTTCCTTTGGAACTATAAAACCAATGAGTATGATAAATCTTGTCCTTTTGTTTCTCTGTTTCAGGATCTTTCTCTCTTACTACTGTATTTTTTCCTTACTATTTTAACCTTTTCCCTTGCTCTGTACAAATGAAATATTTGAAGTCTGTTTCTTAAGTATTGCAATCACTCTTAGAAAAAGATGGGTCAACTTCAAAATACTTAAATATATTTTATGATAAAATTTTGGTTTATTATGCTTTGGATGGCTGTAGCTGCAGAACTGAGATACTAATGCTTTAGTAAGTGTTACACACAGAAAGAAATTATAATGACAAAACCCACATGCTGAAATTACTGGTAGTTACCTGAGGACAAAAACCCTAGCTGTGGAGATCACTGGAAAAAATTAATGCATTCTTCTTTATTTACTCCTTGAGAAACTTTCAGAGTAAATTCTCACATCTCTGTCTAATTATTTGAAAGAGCTTGAAAGACTGGAACAGATACCCAAAATTTGGTGATGCTCTTCAAAGTCCAAATATCACATATGTCAAGGTGTTCAGCAATTAGACCAGTCTTGTCCATTGTTTGGCTGTCAAACAAAATTAAACATGAAATTTTCAGCTGTATATCATAAAAGCAGACTACATAATGTTACATTAGAGAGGGATTGTTGCACAGATATATTGGCAAAATATTTCTTTTCTAGCATTTAATTCTCAAATTAGATTGTTTTAGCAAAAACTGAGTTAAAAATGGAGATTTAATTTTTAGCATAGGTTTGCTCTGTTTGGAATAAGACTCAATAGTGACTCATTCCAAATATATATTGATTTTATTTAATATATTACACAGGTTATAATTAACTCTTCAAAGAATAGCTTCACTTCAGACAAATTTGTCATTTAGCTGTCATAAAATATACATACCATAAAACACTAGTGTGTGACGGAATATCCTAAATTAGCTATTTGAAAGGAGAGTGACAAAATGGAAAATTGACACAAATGGCTTCTGCTCCTAGGTTTTTAATTTAATATCAGCTGCACTACCTACCTGCTTTTTACTAATTGCATTCACACATGAAAATAGTACTACCTTCCTCTGAATATATCACACAGAAAGTGAACAAGTAAAGTTTTCTATCAGAGAAACTAAAATCATTAACACATAAAAAGATCTGGAAAACTATAATGTTTGTTTTCAGCTTTCACGATTTCCATAATATAGGTGATTACTTCCAGACACAAGGCACTCCTTATTTCAGTCTTCTGTGCTTTATTCAATTTATCTGGTTGTGTAAATCTACTGAAGACTAGATTGTAGATTATAATAGGTAATAAGGATGTAAAATTAACCAAAGTCAGGATCAGGTAGTGCATATTCAACAGGATACTGAGGGCAGATAAAGCCAGAATGATGATATTTTTTTTTAGTTAAACATCAATGTATATTCTCAACAGATAAGCAGGGGGACTATTCACACTTCATACAACTTTTTCTTGAAATAAAAAGTATGATCAAGGACAATTGGAGTACCATTATTGTACTAGTGATACCTTAATGCGTCAATAAGCTATGGAAAATGGGGTGACTTCCTTTGGCAGTTATAGGGAGATACATACATTTTAATTGTATCTGTTCTAAAGAAAATCTGAGCCACATCTAAACTTTCTGCAGTTGGGCTTTTAATAAGCTTGAGGATGGCTGTTTTTTGCTAAATTCTTCAGTCATCTAGGGAGGTAAAGGTGATAGCAGCTGAACTATGAGGTGATCTTTATGAAATGGGTTGATATTATTTCCTCAGTACTTCATAGTCAAATGGGAATATAATTTGAGCCACCTCTCACCAGTAAAGGCTAAAGAATGGAAATATGCATTCTGATATTTTTGCCTTGTCTGTGTATCTCTTGCATAGATAGCAGCTTCAAGGCTGTTACTATATCCCTTCCACGAACAGATGTATTCTTACATGTGTACAAATGCAAAGAGAAAAAAAATTTTCTAGCTAAGTATTTTATATGTCAGGATTTTTTCTTAGTAGAATTAGGTGCAATTTTCAGATTAAAAGTGCAGGTTGACTAGTTATGATTAGCTTTTCTTCTTAGTGGGGGAAGCCACAAACATGAATTCTGGTGAACTTATTACTTTGTGTTGCTAAATTTTATTGGTCATTGCTATTTTGAACAAGCTGGAAGTACTGGGGTTTTTTTCTTTCCCCCTTGCAAGAGGGAACAGTAGTTGATTTGAGATGTTAGATATACATAGTTTCTTTAGTAAATGCTGAGCCCACGTATACTGAGAGTGCTAGCAGATGTAAATTAACATTTTTTACCACTACGGAGGTTTAGATGTTTAATGTTAAATGGAGGTTTAGACCTGTTTAATGCAAAACCGCTATTAAAACCAATAACAACTGTATAAGATTTCACCAAGTGTGACATCTAGGCTATGTCCAAGTAGATGATGCAATAGTTAAACGGACACTTGCGATTTATTATGTGTACAAAACTTAGGGAGAACTCTCAGCAAAATGTTCATTGGTCAGTCACGTTACCTCAATCTGTTTTGTTCATTATGCCTGTTCCCGCCTCGATGGGTTAAATTAACTTGCTATATTATCATGACCATGCTGTTGTTTGGAATTAAGTTCCGTGAGCTCTTTTCAACAGTTGAAATAATTTCACAGGCTCCATTATCAAAATTTTCCTCTGCAAGAGTAGTGTTTTATGTGTCTCCTGAGTGTCCTATAAACTCCCAGTATTAATAGTGTGTTAGTGGTGATATTGATGCGTGATAGCATGGATACTGCATATGCTGTTACAATGCTTTAAGACTGCAAACCATTTTTAGTGGTGTTCTTTGCAAGGCTAAGTCCTGATAGCATAATATACCACTGCTAATTATATTGATCTAATTAATCTAATTAAATTGCAGCTAGATATGTTGTACATGTCATTTGTCTGTATTAACATTATGTAAACCTATTCTGCTTGTCTGTGCATTTTATGTACAATACCGTTTAGCATTTGACCAGGAGAGTGAATGTATACCTCCTGCATCTCATACTGGTGAGAAAGAGATGTGGTCACAGGGTGGTTTATGTGATGCGGAAAGCCTGACTCTTTTCTGAATCTAGTTTTGTTCGAAGAGACAAAGGATTTTCTGTTCCTGGAGCTTAGAAAATGTCTTCTCTGCTTCCTCATTTGTTTCTATCACCTTTGACAAAAACACGCCTTCATTTTTCAGAATTTCTATGCACATCACTTTCAACATGTAACTAACAGACCAAAGGGTCCAGAGTCACTTTTGCTGGAGCAAGTGAAACACAACTGCAGTGCTTCAGTATTTCTCTCTTATGTGGAAGAGAATGAGTAAAGGGAAAATTCACTTCTATGGGAGCAGGTAGCTCCTTTCTGCTGCACCCCACAGCTGTTAGTTCTGCCTTTCACCAGCTGCTCCAGAGGAGATACCTTAGCAGAGGCCAGCAGTTGATTAAACAGCAAATCTTTGACTTTGTTGGCCATGGCCTCTTCTTATGTAGCAAAGGCTCTTTTCATAGTTGTACGTATTCATTTCGGGTCTAGCAATGAAGGGTAATGTAAGCAGATGGTATCTCTACCCTCCTCCTAACATAGGACACACATTTGAATGTCATCCAAACTCACCCTTCTCCTGGGTTTTCTTTTATCATCAATTAAATCAAAGCAAATATTCCTTCGGCATAAGCTGCCATTACAGACTTTGCATAGTTTCTGCTTCTTGTTTTTAATTCAGAGACACTCCGTCATTTTCTGTGATCCCTCTCTGGCATTAGGAAGACTCATTTGGTTCAGTTGATATTCTGAGATCGCTGTGTCACTCTGCAGAGTCATGGCAGACTGCACCACGTTAGAGGAAGAATGTGACTATTTTCTTCCACGTCAGCTTCCTGCAGCAATTAGTGCTGTCCCAGCTTAGTCAGCCAAATCAGTTGGATGATAAAAATATGCAACACTGGGCAAGTTAGGAGCCCAAAGCATAGTTGAACATTGTGTTCAACTGTCTTGACAATAGATTTAGTTTTGTTAAGATTAGAATAAGTAAGATAGAGATATTTTATCTATCCTTAATTATTATGTAGGATTTTAAAAAAAATCTTCAGTGGATGTTTTAGGCCAGGTTTTGCTGCTGCTTATGTGGAGAAGTGAATGATCCTTCTTTCTGCAGCTGACCACTGCCTTGTTGCTGATGAAATTGCTCTCACATTTCTAATGTCTGGAAAGTAGAGTAACACAGGAAAAGAGAATAAGAAAGATGTTTTTAAAATCTCATTTTTTTTTGTGCAGTGTAAGAGGAGGTGGTTTCTGCAGCTTACTCTTGCTAATGGCATAATTTAAAGTACAAAATTTTAGAACAATTTTTAATTCTGGCTAATATAGCTGACTAGCTATGGTTATAGTTTTCCAGCTGAAAGAGTTTCCAATTTCCAAAGAAATTAATTCAGAAACACACCTGGACTTTCAGTAGTAATCTAGCAAGATTCTAGAAAGATGCCTTGTTTACTGTGATTGGACAATAAAGAGGTAGTATGAGTTCTCCTTTTCCTTTTGTGTTATCTCCATTTCACTAGTTTGCATAGGCCAGGACTTCACAATCAGAAAATTTAAAATTGGAGGTCTCCCACAGGTGCCTTTCCCCCTCTGCTCTAAGGTCTTTTAGACCATCTAGAAACCATATGAACAGCAAAGGCAGCTTTTATCTGTGTGTAGTGTGTACATATTGAATATGTGATGAGGGACCGGAGTTTGCAGTTTAAGGCTTTTGCTCAGGCTGACACATGGCAGGGAGATCAAAAATAGTGTAAAAGAGGAAGACATGAAAGATGAAGAGCTCTGTAGATGACATGTTGAAGTCAATAGAAATACCTTCAATAGTGTCAGTAGACTGGGAGTTAGGTCATCTCAGAGAGAGGCCTGGCATTAATTTTTCTGAGGGAGTGAAATCCTGGGGGTCTGCAAAAGAGAAAAACAACAACAAGCCTGAAGGGACTTTGGAGAAGAGCCAGCAGAAGCTGCTGTCATCTCTATCCTGCTGTCCTTTCTTGAACTTGGCACAATCAGCTGATCTGCATGAATGTGATGTTTTTATGGCACTGGTTATAATTGGTACTGATAGCAGCATGACTGAATGAGACAGCACATTGTATGAAAACAGGTTGAAAGGAGGATGAGATTCAGTTATAAGATCTTAAACCTCATTTAATCAGAGCATTTTTTTGGCTAATCAGAATATTTTCTGTGAATCTCGGAAATTGCAGACTCTGATCACAAACCAGAGAATATGAGAGGGTCTCATTCATAAGTGCTTTATCTTCTCAGGAACAAGTCGATAAGCCTTTATTGTTTAATTTTTCTTTCTTGGAACTGGGCAGCTGACATTTTTTCAAAGTCCCTTAATTTGTAGGGGACTTTGTGGGAGTCACAAAACCCCATTAACCGTATTTTTCATCTGGCTTTAGGAGGAATATATTTTAAAATGGTAAAAGAAAGACTTTGAACAGCTTCTGATAATTCACAGTTTAAGCATGGCTATAAAAAGAAAATGAAAAGGCAATTAAAAATGGAATATTTCTTTCTTCCATCTCCCCCCACCCCCAACTGTAATTTGTCACTATTTCTTGTAGGCAGGCAGAAAGATGAGGCTACAGAAGACCATTTAGCACTGCAAAGCTGGCTGCTATAAAGCACCATAACTTGGCATTAGAGTGGGGGACTAATTTTTTTAAATCCTCCTGAAAAAGTTCTGAACAGTTTGAGTTTTTTTATTTTTTCTTGAAAATCAGGAAAGAAATGAAAAGAAATTTGTTAATATCTCAGCAACACTAGCTAGTGTCAGTAAGGGTAATAAGAAGCCATGTTTCTTCAGATTTGGTTCTTGACTATCAGTACCCAAAAATACCCTTGTGACTTGTGAAAAACCCACATAAACGCATATCCCAGAAAATCAACAGAAACAGGCTTTAAACACTTGCATTGTCCATATTTGTGTGTGCAAACTGATATTTATGTTTCTACAAACTCATTAGTAAATAGATGTCAGGAGTTTCTCTGGTCACTGGTCTGCAGAAGGCAGGTTTGTCCAGGTGGGTTTCTCTGCTTACTCCTGAGCCTCTAGAGATAGAATCACCTCTCCCAGGTAGAATATTCTTTGTACTGATCATACCTCTCTTTGCAGAAATTACAGCTGTGCTAAAGGTGGAGGGGTAGAGGGGCTGTGCTGCGCCCAGCTGAAGGAGGACCTACATCTATAGCCCCTGTCTGGGCAGAATGGCAGCCACCAGGTCAAGACAGCCAGAAGGCCCCAGGTTTCCTTGACTGGATTTTCCAGCAGTACTGTGAGATTTGTGTGGATATTTTGAGTGAAATAAATGTTTGCATGCTGTCAAGCCAACGTAGAATAGTATCATTATTTTAAAGGGTGCTGAAAGACATTGACACTCTCTCTTGTGTGTATATATGTAAAGTTGTACTTATTTATCATGTGTTTATGAAACAACCACCACTATATCACCCAAGCTCAAGTTTTGAGAAAAGTTCAGAAGTCCATATTTCACGTGGGCCATATGTTAAGCTGAAGGCATATAATTTACAAACCTTTTAAGCGATTGTGTTACCAACAATTCACATTTCTGCTCTCAAGATAAAGTCCCAACCCATTCCATCTGATCAGCATCTTGTTCTTCAAGCAGGTGTCATGGTTTCTGAATTTCATCCAGATGGCAGCTGATGTGGAAACAGAGACTGAGTGAATAAAATCAAATGCTGTGAGAAGAGCCAGCGAGCCTTTGCTCCTCATGTTACTGCTAGTGACAATAGCCATTGTTTGTGATCTGTGAATTTATTAGATCTAAATGGTTAGGATTATTTCATCAAATTGTAACATTCAGAAAAAGTCATTGAAAATACCCCCCTAAATATATTGCATAGATCATCAGTATTTGCAGTTCATATCTTCTGGTAGTATGTATATATCCATGTATCCTTTCATGTCCACGGCCAGTTCAACATTCTTCCAGATATACCTTCCAGTTGTTGAAAACCAACTGCAAAGCCAGTAGACACAATAGAGTGTGCAATGAAAGTTCCAGTATTTGTGTGTTCAAAAAACTATTGGCCTGGTGAGCTGTCTTAGGGAGCCTGTAACTGCTAATTGGACCTGTGAGGGTCAGCAATTACTTCTGAGCAATTCAGGCCCCCTGACAGAGACACCCTTATCCCTAAGTCAGCTATGCAGTAGCCAGGCAGGAGCCCTAGGAGCACAGGACAGAGGGGAGTGTGCTCTCCCTGGGGAGATCTGTAGTCCTTTCCTATCCACCTGTGTGTGGGACAGGACTCTGCCAACTGATGCCCAGTGCTGTCTCTTAAGTAATTATGAAGTCAAGCCATATGCAGCTCCATATTTCTAGTGTTAGATTTGATCTTCCCATCAGTTGTCTGGGGCTTCTGTGTCTAAATGCTGCACATACTGCATCACCCAGAGCTGAATAGTCTAGGAAGGGAGTCATCAGGAGTTACTTTGCTCTCTCAGTCTCCAATTCTACCACCTTGGAGTTTACCTCCAGAAAAAGCCATACCTTTTGGTTGCCTCTCAAGGAGGCTCTTATTATGACACCAGAGCAGAGCCATTCACAATTTGTAGAATAACCTGCTGCCATGTCAGATTAGGTTACATGCCATCAAATTATTTAAATTTTCACAGTTGCATTTGTTCTACAGACATGTGCACTCTCTCTCTTGAGACTAGAAATTCTGCACTTTTGCAAGTTCTTTCAGGTAATTTATTTTTAAATTTTTTTAGTGGCAAAATCAGTTCTCAGAGCTCTTCTTAAGACGACAAAAAAGAAGTGATGTTTTGCATACATTTTATGGTTTTTCTGTCCAATGACTCTAGTGTCAAAATTGCTACAACCTTCTAAGAGAAATGCTAAATCATAATGTGGTAAGAAAGGCACCCTCGACAGGTCTGCGAATGACAGGTCTATAATTTCAGCATTATTTGAATACAATGTAGAAGTGCCTTATATGTTTAAGCAGCTTCATTTTACATCTGCTTTTTAGAACAGTTGATTCATACTTGTCTGCACAGGCTTTCAATAGTTCTTCTTTTCTTTCTTAGTGTCTTTGTCTACCCTTTTCTTTTTTGCTTTATTTTTCTTTTTTATTCCCTTGAATTTTTTTTCCATAATATTTATTTTATTAGTGATAAGATGAGAGGGTCAGGCTGAGCATGTGTTAGACTGAGATGCAGTGTAATGAGTCGACTTTACCTCTGTGCTCATTACAGCCATAGAGCAGAATGACTGGAATTACATGTGGATCTTTTGCTGCTTACTTTCATGCATATGTTAACACGCATTGCTTTATTTGTGGCTCCAAAATTGCCGTTATTATTTCTGAGAACTGAGGTTTATTTGATATCTATTTTAATATTACTAAATTGTTTTTGCCATTGTTGCTGAAGTCTGTATGGATTGGTTGGACTCCTTAAAAAAACTTCCACTGATTCCTGAAGAGAATTTTTCATCAGGAGATGGGAGCTTCAAATCCCAATAAACCAAAAAACTTATAGTGGTGGTGTCCTTTTTTTTTTTTATTATTATTTCTTTCCTGTGGTGTTTCTGCACCATTGAACTGACAACTGCTTTAAAAAGAGTTCACAAATGCTGGGCTAACACGGCTCTTCTCCCATCACATGGCTGCACACTGGTGGCTCTCTTGCAGCTGCCTGTGGTGTATCCTGTTACTGTGGTGTATCCTGTGATGGGGAAACCATGAACTGTCATGCACTCACATCGCCAACCAAGCTGTGCCCTCTACCTTTGGAGTAACCCCTAGAAGAAGGCAAGCTGTGCCTGTCAGTAGAATGATGACACCACTGGAAGTGAAGTCTTTTTGTTTCATTCAAAAAGACCCAGTGACAGTTCTTCGAATGAAAAGTTTTCGGAGGATCCAAAAAGTTCTCATATCAATCTTCTTAAAAATTTAGTTTTCATTTCAAAGCTTCCTTTTTTGATATTTTTCACTGTAACTGTCCAGACTGTATAATTTCTCTCCTTTGAGCTGTTCTGCCTGTATTGGTGCCTTATTTTCACATTCTTAGCAGGAATTAGTACAATGCTTGAAATTTTGGTTGCATGTTTGTATCACCTTTCTTCTCCCTGTAGTGTTTGCTGTTATGGAGGGTACCATAGCACTGGGAAATCCTCCTGGGAAGAATGCACATGAACTTATGAATGTATCACAAAGTGTGAAATTTTTGTGAAATTGAATAAGTCAGTGTGCAGACCAGATATTGCAGAATGGGCAGTGTCAAAGCTTTGAGATCAGCCTAAGTAGTGACTGCTGGCTTTCTGTGAAACAAAGAGCTCTTTGGATAGCATCATAGCATGTAAGGCTTACAGTTGGGTAGATGGAAGGGAATAGGTAATAACCATAAAACAGTATTATGAAAATATAAACCATAATTAGTGATAATGTGTTACTCAATTAAATACATTAAAATATGGATGCAGAGTTTTGACGCATCAATGCTTTTGTCCAAGAGCATATGTGTGTTTATATACTGATCTAACATTGATGTGTAGCTGACACATTAAATATGCATCAAAGGATGAATACTCTGCCCTAATGTTAAATAGGTTTCTCTAGTGCTGTCTGGTTGTACAGATATATGGAAGAAGATAGTCCCTGCCCCCCAAATTTCCCATCTTAAAAGTAAAGCATAGATAGCTTAACTGTAGATGTTCTTCAGGTAGCCCAAGGTTGTAAGTGGAGTGGGCCAGGGTAAGTCATACCCATGGGTGCTCTGCTCTTCCTGCTGAAGGACCTGTTTTCCAGTGAGATGTCTCTGCTGCTTATTAATCTGGCAAACAGAGTCTTGCAATTAAAATTCAGATTCCTTGTTCTGATTTCAGCATCAGCAGCTTGGGTGGTTTTGTGGAAGGAATACTCCTCTTCCTTTTTCTGCTGTCTTCTGCAACAGAAATTCTGTTGCTCTCCTTCTTTCCAGTGAAGGAAGAAACCTAGTTTCCTGACCTCCAAACTTCAGATGTGTTATTAAATAATTAGAGTCCTCTTAGTAGTTAGATGATTGCAAGGGGATCAGATTATGGTTAGTACCAGGAAGAGAGAAGTACTGAAACATCTCTAAGTTACATGTTTACCCTAATAAGTGCCAATGCCATCACATTCCCTACTGATGTTGGGGACCTGTTGTGGCCAGTGTGCACCACTAGCATATTAGTGTGGAAGTCCAGCCTTGGTGACCCTGTATTGTTGACATTCCTATCACACACTCAGGAAAGGGTCTTAACAAAAAATAACTTAATTTTCATGGCTTTCTCTCATGTGTTGTGTTATTCCTATTGCTTGGGAAAAAAAAAAAATCATGTGTGCCAGTAAGAATTTGCCATTTTTAATTTAAAGGTTTGTTTAGTTCAGGAGCAGAACAAGCTTTGCCTAACTCTTGGATCCACCAAACTTCTGGTATTTTTTTTATTTATTCTGAGGTAAGCTTTACCCCAACAGCAGAAGTATTGATCCCGAAACTGTGCTTTCTGAATTCAGACTGAGGACAGCCATGTTCCATGCTGCTGCTCTTGCCTAAAAAATGGACCAGCCATGGTGGTTTCCTTTCATACTATTTTTCCCTTTGTTTCCTTCCCCCATCACCAGCATCTCCTGCCTTAAACATTGTGGTTGATATTTTCTCTGCCTGGTCTCAGGGCTACAGTAATATTAAAAAAGAAAAGTCTAAGTAAAATGAACTGTTCCTTATTAAGGTAGAGTATAAGGGGAGAGAAAAAATGATGCCTTTTCCTTGGAATTTTATCATAAGCACACATAAGGCAAAATGGCAGTGTCCATAAATGTCAGAGAGAATTTTATTGACAGGAAGAGTTAAACATAAAGATATTCAGGTACAATTGTCCTGCAGTGTCTGAGCCCAGGATTATTTTAGACACATGGGTTGTCAGCCATATCTATAGGATCATGAACTGGTCTCTCCATGACTTAATTTAAACTTTGAATAGATGGGATGCACTCCATGTAAAGAGAGCTTCTAGATGTCTTCCTTTTTGAATACTTGGTATTTAAATCGGATGCTTTTGAAATCAAAAGAAAGATTTCCATCAAGTTAAATGGGTTCAAAAGTGGGTCTTAACGTGAGATTACATTTTTCATTAAGGACATTTCGTAGCATCATTCAACTCAATGTTTTTTTCCATTGACTTCATTAGATGCAAAATTGGCCCCTTAAAGCATATGTCTTGATAGGGCATTTTGTCTTCCGTGACTGTAGTAAAAAAAGGGGGGGGGGGAAGAATCATAACATTCGTATCCTTGCTGTTCCTTATTTTTGTGACATGTTGCCTCTGATATTTCTGCATTTTCAATCATAAGGGCTCTATTCTCACCGGGCTCTTGTCCCATGTTAATCTGATATTCATATAATTTTGCTAGAAAAGAGACTGTGAATGATCTCTCCCTTCTAATTTATTCAAGACTAAAGTTCTGCTACTGGCAAACTTACCTCCATGGTTCCCCTCTCTGTACAGTATAACCAGATGTTTTGCAGTTTGGGTCCCTCTGCACATCATTGAACAGACACTACAAGTACTTCTTTCTGTAGATTTCTGCAAGAGCCCTCACAATGGAATACATGAGAAATATGTGAAAACAGGTCATAAACCAGGCTAAAATGAAATTTAAAAATACAGAAAGCATTTCTTAAAAAGCAGAAGAAATATTACAAGTTTTTTTGTAGAGCAGACCGGACTGTCATCTGGGCACTACGTGCATAATGGTGTGGTTTCAAAGCCTTGTAAATAGTGATATATTCATTTAAACCAACTTTTAAATAAAGACATAAAATTATGGGAATAATGTGGAATCAGCTTTGAATCAGTAGTACTTGTATAGCACCTATCACTAGCACATTTGTGTGCCTCTCAGAATTGAAGGCATATTCCCAGCACCACTGTCATGAAGAGAAATGACTTCTAAAAAAGAAAAGAGGTATAAAATCTATGAAGATTGAAAATGCAAAACTTTGCATTTGATTTCAGGGCTTAGGTAGGCCATGCTTAAATATTTAAAATCTTCTGAAGTTTTGGACTTGTTGTTCCATCTAGTGTCTCATATGCATTTGTAGTAGAGGTGGAGTCCATTTAGGTCCTGCTGTGACTGGGCCAGTCTTTCTTGCCATGGAGTTTTTCAAAGCTTATTTCCATTCAGAGTGAAGAAAAAATTGGTTTGTAGGAATGATTATTGGTGTTTTTGACAGAGGGACTTCAGGATTTTCAGAGGTCCTCTGGTTTCTCCTAGATAAATGAGAGCTGTGAGGGGAGAGACAGCCCATTTGAAGTCAGTCAAGGGCAATAGTAGACTATGATTCTTCCTCCTAATAAAAAACCAACCAACCAACCAAATAAATAAAACATTGGGCCTTTAGTACTTGTGAATACAGACTGAATTTTTCTCAAAGTTTGAGAGCGTTTCAGTGGGAAGCTCTGAATTGGATCCATCTCTGCTTAAAATGAGGAACAGGAACTGACCATCAATTTCTATGCATCCTCTCAGTATAGAATTAATGACTCGATTAAAATGAGACATCCCCAAGAAATTCTCTAGTAATTGAACTACTTCATAAATTAAGACAAGCAAACACACTTGTATAAACACTGAAATTGCTGACCCAGTTATTTGAAATAAAGTTTTGCCCATTATAGCCTTCAATCTCAACTGGGTGATGACAGAAATTTCTAAATATCGCAGAAGACAGTTTTTGAAGCACTGGGTGAGTATTTTCAGATGATGATGTGACACAGAGGGGTACTTTGTTCTCTGGTACCCTAACCAGGTTTGAATGGCCTGCATCAATCCTTACATTTAATGACAGAAAACTCAGCTTAACCTTGCTGTAAAGTAAGTATTTATACACATCAATGAGAGAAATAAAACACCTTATTGATTTTACATCTGGTTTCACTGTGGTAATTAAAATGTACCTTTGCAGCTTGCAGAATAGTAGTCTGTTTGTATTAGATCAAAGGAAAGCTCTTCCACAGACCTTATTTTGTATTCCTGTTGTCCCTGGAAAATTAGTAAATAAATGCAGAAGGGTGAGTCCAGTCTTCATAACCTATCGACATTTAACTCTAGCAAAAAGATACCTTCCGGACAAAGGAGCCAGTGGTTTCCGATGGTGTATTATAATAATTTCTTGGTCAAATTCACTGTTGAATACCCCAAAGTTCAATGTTCAGCATAGTTAATGGCTTTGCCTGGATATGCTTTTTCAGGAGTTTTCTGAGGAAACCTTCTGAGGAAACTGTTCACAGGAGGGTCATCACTACAGCAAATCTCTTCAGAAAAGTAAAGCCCTTGAGAAGGGCACTATAGACCTTCCAGTCCTACTGAATGTGGTGTTAGATCATTCCTTTTTGCTGTATGCTACTACTTGGCTACTTTGGGCAGGATCTATTGGCTTTCTGGATGAATGCAATGCATCTCATCTGGAACCTGGTGCATTTGCAATTATTGCTGTTGGTGGATCTGAACTGTGGTGTGGATCTGACATGTTGGGGGCACTGGTAAGTGCAGCCACTCAAACACCTGGCTGGACTGCATGTGTGTGTGTAAAGTCAAGCTTTTGGCAGCACAAATAATTTTGAAAAACACATCTGTTTCCTATGACTTTTTTTTTTTAAACTTTTCTCAGGTTCTCTAGACCTGAACGGCCACATAGTGCGTGTAATTTTCATACATGGGATTGCTATTATTCTCTCATCTGTATCTCCAGTGGTATGTTGTGATCAGACAAGTCTTCTTACGTAGTTCATGTACAGGTCAGGCCATGGTTTATCCTATGTCACACCAAGGTTTGTTATGTACTTCAGCAGTCTCACAATTTTAACACAGATTTAACTGACTCCAAAGAAATAACTGCATTAAATCAACCCTAACAGAAGATTTCCAATTTGATTCTCAAGACCCAAAAATTTTGGAAAACTTGAGGTTTGTAGGAAGTAGATTTCTATCACTACCCTTCCATTTCTTCCCACTCTCAATACAGGTGGGTAGTGAGCTACTAGTGAGTTTAACCAGTGATTAATTTAGCTCCTTCTGTACATTTTATCTTTCTTATGTCTGATTAGTTCAAGGCTTGGGATTTGAAATAAAGCCAAGATTTTAAATCTGGAGCCCTCTTAATTACTTCCCCTCACTTTTTTTTATCGTGTGGTAAAAATCCGGTTATATATATGTCTACATAGTAGCTTACTGTGGAGGTACTTAAGCTAGGTCTAAAATGGTAGCAGAAGAAGTCTAGCCATAGCAGCATAAGACAATTTATATAAACATATACTTACTACACAAAAGCATAAGCAATTCAGAACATGCCATATATATATGTATATATACGTGTGTGTGTATAAATATATATATTTATATAAGGACTGTATGATATGTGTATATATACATACACATCTAAAAATCTTGCTAGTACAATTTAGCAAGTAACACATTTCAAAAGGAGAGAAGAAACAGAAACACAATTGTGATTAATCGTGCTCATTATCAACTCAGGCTTATGACCTGTGTAAATTTTAGGGTATTTTTTTGAAGTATGTGTGTGGTGCTAGATGGGAGGAGGGGTACATATGTGTGAAATGAGAGATGAAAAATACACTTTTTTCTCTGCCAATAAATGACCCCTTCCACCCCCTCAGTTTTCAGCCTTCCCTCAAGAAGTTAGGTAGATGTCTAAAGCTGGTTAAAGCCTTATTATTTAGTTAAGTCTAGGTGGTTTCCATTAGCCTTACAGTACATGCCACTGAGCAGACATACAGTAACTGAATTGTTTCAACTTATCCAAATAACATTGAAATAGACTTAATTGTTGAACTGCAGGAAAGACCATGTGTCTCCAGAGACTATTAGTGTCATTTAAAAGGCTAAATGTATCATAAAACCTGTCTTTAACAGAATAAAATTGTACAGACCAACACAATTCTAGCTAATGTTTTCCACATTTCTTGTAAAAAAAGTCATTGGCTGTAAGGGAAAGTTCATAACATTTCTAGGAGTTATTTCAGTGTAGCACTTCCTAACTAGTTTTAACCTAGTGTCCTTTTTAGTACTGAGTAGCAATTTACTTTGAAAGTACTCACACTGAAATCTACGGGATCTACTTACAGAATATATTTCTATTTATCATGAGTAAAGAGAGGCTTTTGCACAGCAGAAGATTCAAAATGCCTCTGATTTCAATAGATAAGCATTTTTCTCTTGGATTTCCTCAGCATTTAAATCCAACTCTGATTAAAGAAGAATATGGACATATTTGAGAGGAAAAGTAAAACTGAAGGACTCCTTGCTGATACAAGTTGTCAGTAAGATTTCCCCAGTCATCAGCATTTTGGTATTTTGTGATTTTTATTCTAGGATTTATCTCCTTGTTTTTATTCCAATGTTACGTATTATCATTTGTTGGCTGTATTAAAAAAATTCTATGGGTAAACAAAATGGTAAAGGTAGCTGAAATAAAACATAATAGGAAAGCAGAAAAGAGCATGGGGGAGGTAGAGTGAGAGGCCAAAGAAGAGTAACTGAAAAAATAGAAAATTGCTTTTTGCTATCAAAGAGAGAAAAGATTATTTATTTGTTCCAAAGAAGTTTAAAATATTAAGGGGAAAAAGTCTAGAAGAAGGACAAATAGTGAATCATCCCTCAATGGAAGGAGCAAACCTTTCTGTTTATCTGCCTCATCTTTTCACTGGAGTTTTACATCAACTAACAGGGAAGTTGTTTCAAATAACTTTTGCTAACATTATTCTTATTTTACAAGTTTAGCCACTTTGTTATTTTACAAGTTTTGTTTCCATGGAAATGAATGATGTAATCTACTCTTTCCATCACAATCACTTTTTAACCTGAATAGATTTTTTTTTCCCACAGTTAGTCCTCTCCAATCTAGAGGACAAAGATATTGTCTCATTTTTTTCTGGAAAATCTCAGCATCATGATGTAATTACCTATGTAGGAACACTAGTGCCTTTCCTGAAAAAGTTAAGAATTTCTTGCAACGGCAGTTACTGTCAAGCTTTTCCCATTAGAGTTATGTGTGAATGGAAACAACTGTAATTTCTTCATTGCTTGCTATTAAAATGAACTTGAATCATGTAACTCTTTTGAAAAGGAGACATTATGATGACAAAAAATATTGGTTAAGTCTAGCCAGGGCTTGATTTATTTGGTTTTAGTCTTGCGATAAGGAGAGGGTATGTGCTAATGAAGCAGTTCCCGTTTACGGGGAAATTCATCCAGTAACAAGTCATAGTGCCACTAATTCTTCTTCATTCCCATTTTGGGAATTTACGTAGTGTCTGGTCTCCTGCTGCTGCCCCTCAGATTGGCCCTGAATTCACCTGTAATGAAGGAAATCCCTAGCTGCACAAACCTAGAGCATCTTTACCTTGAGCTAAAAAACCTCTTAGTATTTCCAGGTTATCAATGGGACACTATTGCACAAATCAGCCAACAGATGTTTTATTCAGATATTGTGCAAACAAATGCAATGGGGAAAACACCCCACACCTCTGGTGCAGCAAAGGTAATAGAATGACATCACTAATTCGAAATTTTAAAGAAGGACAATTTCACCAGTATGGGGCTAGACACAAACTGGAAGGTCTAATATGTGTCCATGAAGAATTTATACTGATCTGTAAACTTGTTCAATCTCTGCTTTGTCAATTTGCCTTCCAGGCCTGAACTGAATGTATTTTTTGCACTATCCACAAACTTTTCAAAAAACAGATTTTAGGAACATGATTTTTTAAAACTGAACTGACTTTAAGGCAGTCACCTATAAAGAAGAGATGTGAATCTCTTGGAGGATAATGGATGAAGTCCCGAGGTAGTGCGACATTGAACTATGTTGAAATGATGATACAACAAATGACAAAATACTGTTAATAAATGTATTTATTATATATATATATATATGGATTATTGAGTATATATGAAAGTCTGAATGCATTTCAATTCTGTGAGTGAAGTAAAGCTCATAGAGTACATTACACATTATTTTTGTCATTTAGCAGCTGAAAAAGAAGTTTATACAATCTACCCAAGCTCATATGGGAAGAAACAGTAAAGCAAAGAATAGAAACAATCTACTTAGACTCTCATTACTACATTCTTCATAGATGACCTGAATTAGGACTTATTTTAGTATAGTCATGACAAATGTAATGGGCAAAACTAATGAAATTTAAATTAAAAAAGGAGTGACTTAAGTGTCCTCTGACCTTTCATGTCTAAATGGAGTCTCATTCTAATATAAAGTGATAATTGTCCAATGTTAGTCTTGTCACTTCATTCCTGATGGGAGTGAAAAGATGCAGCTAAACCTACTAATTTCTAAATTCTGCAAAATTAGAGTAGATAAGGTACAGTAGGTATTGGTAAGAAGTAAGTAAACAAGTACTGGTAGTAGGAGCTAAAAAGATAATGTTATCAGGCTGTAAAACAACTCTCCCACCATGCCCATTATGCAGTCTTCACTTGTGTGAGAGGTCCTGTTTAACCTGATGAGACCACTCCCCAAAACTTACAGGACTGGGCCCTACCAAGGTTAAATACTTTTGCATTCTTCATTGGGTGTACAAGAATTACTTGAGAATTACTGCAAGAAAATCAAATAACAGATTTCTACATTTTCAGCACATGTCTTGAGCTGATTAGCACAGGACCTAATTTGCTCTAATCAGCCCAAGGTGGATAGAATGTGAAACAGATGCCCTTACTGTTCAAGAACAGGTAATTCTATTTATTTGTGGTGAATAATGACATTTTCCTACTGATGGGTATTCACCTTGCACCTTAAATTGCATCAGGTCAGTGCTGAGAGTAACTGGTGTAGCAACTCTGAATTTCCCTGTACTACCTATTAGGTAACGTTCCTGTCACTGCCAATTTAAACCGGACCCATATATGAAAAACAAAACTCGGGTTCCTGGTAAATATAACAATTTTTAATATCCCCAGCTGGAGAGAAAGTTTCCGCCAGTATAGCAGAAGAAAGTATGCAAGGATCTGTAAAACAGGGTCAAAAAGAGAATTTCTGAAAGGAGAAAACCTTTCCTTCCTCTATGCTTAGAATTATTAAGAGGACACATTCCACAAACACAACCTGTGACCAAAGAGGCTTGTTGAACCAATGTACGATAAAAATCAAATCACTTCAAGGTTGAAAATGTGTCTGAAAAGAAATTATTAGGAGCTAAGATCTGACTTGGTTGATCTATATAGGTAACTCATTCTTTAATTCTGAAGTGCCTTAAACTAGCAAAAAATGGTGACTTCAGTGTAAGGGTCATCAACTAAGGTAAAATTTGAGTCAAGCATTTAAAATTTAGCCATCTGAGAATACCAGCTAGTGCTTCAAACCAGATCCCTTCCATAATGATCTACAAATACACAAAGTAAAAGCACTCAAGTCCTGAGAAGGGGTATCTCCTCTTCTCCCTTTCTCTTCTGAAGGCTGGAAGCCAGGCTGATGTAAGCATTATCACCCACCTCATGCCCAAACACACGCATACACGTGCTGTTGTACATCTTTTGTGAACCTCAAGTCTTAAACTCTGTTCCAGCACTTTTTTGGACTTCTGACTGTTCGCAGTCTGCCGGGCTCTTTTGTTGGGAAGGAGGTAAGGATGTTGGGATAATGACATCACAGCCAGAATTAGAGAAGCAGCCCTGATGAGAACTTCAAAGAAAGAGAACTACTTACCTGTAAAGGACAGACATGAATCTGTGAGCCTTGAGTCCAGCACCAGCAAGAGCTTAAGATCACTGGCTTAAAGGCACAGTCATACGGGCACAGCCTTGAGCTGCTGGAAATCAGGTAAGACTCCACATTTTCTTCAGAGAAGAAGGTCGTGTGTTTACTTTTGCTTGAGCAAAGCTGAGCAGTTTAAATGTAGGGAAAATGTTTACTTTCTCCCTGACATATTTGCAAGAGGAAAAATGAAGTGACTTTTCTCCTCTCAGAGAAATAGTGCAATGAATTCTTATTATCAAAGATGATCTTTTAACTCAGGGGGAAAATGCCATATTATTTTTTTGTTAAAGAGAAGTACTGGTACTTGGGGCACAGCAATGCTAGCTGGTGCATGCCCTCCTCAGAGGGTTTCCAGTAATGTTTTTGCAAAAGTCTTTTCTCAAGATTGAGCTGCAATTAGCATGGGCTTCAGTCAGTTCTGTGGAGATGTCACTCCACGTAATGTTACGGGCTTCATGCTGCAACATGAAGATGTCACTTTAGATAGCACTGTGGCCTTGAAGTGGCAATGCAGAGATGTCACTTCCCTATTATCAACTGCTGCAGGAGAATATGTCCTTTATGATGGAGCTGGCCTCATACTTTGTGAATACCCTCTTGATGTCCCTCTCAATGGGCTTGACAGCACTGTAACAGCATGACAAGTTAAAACATGTCCTTGAGAACTCATGTTAACTAATGCAATGATGACCGTGACCACACGGTGTGTCTAGGCAAGAACAGAGTGTTTTCTCAATCACAGAAAAACCTTACTGTAGTGAGAACTAACTCACAAGTTTTTGCAGGACACAACTTACCTCTGTCTGCAATGACCACAAGCCTATGGTCATCATTGTGTCAGGTAACATGGCTTCTCAAGGTCAGGTTCCACAGTGCTGTAAATTCTGAAGGAAGATAAAGGACCAACAGGAATTTATTTTCTTTCTAGATGCCTCTTTGGCTCAGTTAACCTTTAACAGTGGTCTCTTCTTAATTGGCTAAAACAATAAAGAAAAATGCCACAAAGCTAAGAGCATAAATCATAAGTTTCAGGCCAGTTTAAATAGTTGAGATTGGTTTTCCCTTCAATACTCTAAACAAAATAAATGTCTGTTGATAAAAATGCCATACAACTTACCATTTCAGGTATTCCAGTATTTCTTGTGGTTGGACTAAGATTTCTAATGAAAAAAATTGCCCAACTTGATTTCCCCAATTAAATGCCATATGTGATTCCACAAGTACAAATGATGCTTGGTAGTGCCCCCTTTTGTAATTGCTTTAAATTAAAAAGCAATTAGAAGCTCACTAATTTCAGACTAGACCCACTGGGTCAGGACTGAGATCACCAATAGAGCAGTCAGAAAGCATGCATTACACATCCCTCCTTCCACTAAGGCCAAGTTTATATTGGAGGTAGGTCAGTAATTCCTACCACTGTCAGTGGCAGCTTTTTAAGATGGTCCAAGGACACACACAGTGTTCATTCATCCTTTGACAGGTGCCGGTACCGGGAATAAATTTCCTTTCTGTCATTTTGCTACTTGTGAGTAATGGGAATCTTGGACATTCATAAGGTGGTGAGTACCGCAAGTCCCTGCAGCAGCGAGTGTTTGAGGACCAGAGGTCTTAGAGTTTCGCTGCCACTGCTGTACCGAGGCAGATGGGAGGGCTGCAGCTGCCCTGCTGTGCTTCTACACATGCCTTCATCACCCCCCACCCGACATCCCCCTCACCCTACCTGGCTTCCTGCTACTGATACACGTCTTCTGTCTGTGTTGCTGATTACAGAGAGTTTATTTAACTGGAGAAGAGAGGAATGATGATGAGATTACTGAGCACTGCTGATTGCCTGCCCTAGCTGAAGGGCACTGTGAATGACCTGGGTCACTTGGTCCATGGGCTGAGGTGGCTCTGTCTCCCCGATTCAACTCCTGCCAAGGCTCTCCTCAGTAAGCACCACCACTAACCCTGGATGTGAACTTTCTTCATAGAAAAGGCTCTTCTGGGCTTTTCCCAGATTACAATTTTTCTTGGCAAGGCTTCCATTTTTTTCAGAGAAGCTGGGAAAACTTTTCTTGAAATGATCCTCCTCCGCCTTCTGACTGAAGAGTATGACTGATGCCTTTTCTTCCCCAGCGCAATAGTACATCTGTGGAGTAGAGAGACTAGGTAACCAGCTGTCATGTCAGGTTTCCTAAACATACTTGCATGTCATTTCTCACTTGTTGGTCTGTATCAAAGCAGAGAGCCTCTGCTGCTAGCTCCACTGCACATTAGGGCTAGAAAATAATTTCATTAGGGCTGAAAAAAGTGGTTTATTTAAGTCAAAATCAGTCTATTCCTGCATCTGTTATTTCTGCTTCTCCCTTAGACAGGCTGATAACACTTTTCCTTCTCTTCTCTCTTGCCTTCTTTTCTACATCAAAGATACTAAGTACTGTGTTCTTTAATTTAACAGCTTCTGCAGCACAAGAGAGACTAGCTTCATTTTATGAATAGTGAATCCTTGTATGATGTCATCTTCACATAATTTCTATTTTGCTGCTCTGAAATAGATTTTATTTCAGCAAATGTGCAGAGCACTATTACAGTGACACTGTACTGACTAAAGAAAGTGGCATTACAAGTATAGTAATTCTGTTTTAAAGCACACTATTGAGGTGTACTAATTACTCTGTTCTTCCAGCTGTCTAATAGACAGCTCTTCTGTTCCTTATTTCTCCAGTAGAGAATGGTTTTACCTGAGGTCACTACCATACCAACTGCCAAATATAGACATTACAGCCAAACCAGAGGCTATGACACCTATGAATAATTGTCGTACTTGAAGTCAGGATGCATATTGTAGTATAGACATAGTTAGAAAGGAATTAATGTTTGCTTGCCTTGAACCCAACTAGAAGCATACTAAAATAGTCAACAACACACACATATATATACATTTTACACTCACAGCATAGCAAAACAATGTGTAAGTATTGTGTTTAAGTATGTGAAAATGTGTCCAGCCAAGAGTAAAAAAACTTGTGTAGTTGCAAGTGGAAAAGGTGGGAAAACATATAAACAGCAACTCAGTAACAGAATTTTCAAGATAAAGAACAAAGAGCAAGATACAGAACAAAGAACAAGATAAGCACAAGGGATGGAAAACAGGCAGGATATCCTACTGACTGCACGAGTATTGGGATGGCTGGCAAAGCCAAAACAAAAATAAGCAGCACTGGGAGCTGATGGGATCCCTTTTTGGGAGAGAAGCAAGCTGCAGAAAGCATCAGGCATCCAGAGGAAATTTACCTATAAAAGGGCTCTCAAACCTGAAGACCTTGACTTCCTCAACTATTAGCCACTGCATACTGGAGCCACTGGTGCATCACCTCCTTGGTATTGTATACTCACAGCTAATTCAGTTTGTAGTAGACTAATGATTTTGTGTGCGTAAAGCCATGTGCTGGTAATTAGTAAGAACAAAACATTGGCACATCTGTCATTAATGAATGTCAGTCTACTAAAATTTTATTTTAAAAGTTGGTTCATCAGTTTTCTAAATACTCCCATCACAGCAATTTCTAATTCTTTGACTGATACTGATAGATGTAGATATATATTTACATACACATACAAACACATACTCTGTTGCAATAATTTTACAAAAAAAAAAAATTATCATGGTTAACATGTTGAACAGCATGGTCATTTTGTAGTTCATGTCAGAAGAGGGCATAACTCTGTCCTTCCTTGTGACAGAGTTAGAGGCTGCTCACTGCCAGCATCTGAGTCTGAAGCAGAATGTGTAGATCTGAACCCTTCATTGCTGACCAATAAAATACACTGACTTGTAGAGGTACCTCGTTCAAACGGCGTTAAAACCCTCAAGGGAAATATGCCATTGCTGCAGAGATGAGTGATGAAGCAGTTGGGTTCTGTTTATGTGAAGTTTTGATTTTTTTTTTAATAACTTTTTTTACCTGTTGAAAGTATGTAGGAATGTGTGCAAAATGGCTACAGACCATAACATATCTAGAAGCCTCTGAACTATTTGTTTAAATTTTAAGTGCTGCATCTTGCACCGCAGTTTCAGATATTAAACCCTGATGTATGTTTTGATTCCTTACAAATTATGCAATTTCTTTTCCCGTCCCTTTCCTGCTGCTTGTTCTTTCACACTACTATTATCAGCAAGTTTCTTTACTGCATACCAGGAGTAATCCTGATTTCATCTGCAAAATTCGGGCTAGTCACAAGTTACCTCATCATTAAGAAAAGCATTCTCTACATTCATTAATAGAAGAATAGTAGCAAGAGTTCATGTAACCTTGACTATCATTTTGCTTCTCCTCTTTCTTATTTTATACCATCCTTTTAAACTGTTAGTCGAGATTCTCACCTGATATAAAGTGATGTCACCCCATTGAAATCTTGACTAACACCAGGCTCAGAAACCTTCCACCTTCAGATATCCATGGACAAGTCTAGATTTGTAGCTAAATGACTTTCAGTGTTTAACGTGAAAATATATGAGATCCAAATGAAAACATTAAAATCCTCAAATAACAGGAGTTTGTCCTTCATCCCTCATTTGAACAGTGTTAGTATATAATGTCGAAGTTTTAGTCATGTTGTACTAAATAACTACCAGCTCTATTGTTTGAAGATATATAAAAGTACTACAATTTTCATGCCAGTCATTTTTTAATTATTGTTATTACTTTTTACTTTAAGTTTCAAGAGGTCACCTTGATGCAGAATCCATGATTTGAAAACTGCAAGTCTCTGTGAGGTTGGAACTGATCCACAGGAACAACAGTAATTCATGCAACAAAACATGTTAAATGCTGTGAAATGTTCCAGTCTTTGAGCTGCTTTGGTCCTGCTGTGTAAACGAACCTTTGAGCTGTCCAGAATGCTTGCAAAGGCCAGAAATAACTGAGGCAAGAAAGTGTGAGAGGGGGACAATTGTCATGACACTTTTTCTTTCAAATCTCTACAAAGAGGCTACTATGCTATTCCTCATGGGCATGATTTGCCCATGGCTGTGTGCACAAGTTATGAGTTGGACTTGTGACCATAACATGCAAAACTGCTAGGTTCAGGTCAGCATTAGAAATATTACTGAAACAAAATTACTCTCTGGTCTAGAGTTAATCACTTACACCTAGTCTGGAAAATCTGACACATTTAGGAATATTCTTTGGCATGAAGGCAGGCTCCCATGGTCTCAGTGACTGCTAGCGAACTGCCTACTAGTGAACCTGCATGTGAACTATGGCACAAGGTCCTTGGAGAGCAAACAATACTACCTGGGAGAGGCCACAATGCTATCAAGAATTGTTCCAACAGTTCATCAGCATAGACATCTGAACCCTTTACTACTCGAGACTATCATCAACCATGCTTGAACCAGCAGCTACCAACACAGCCTTTATGATTTCTCTCCTTCAGGGAGAGAAATTTTAAAATCATTTTGACATGGCAACCTTCTGTGACGTTAAAACCAGTGGTACAGCTATATGCAACGAGAGTTTCCAAGTGCTTAAAAGAAACATTTTCAATGACTCAGTAATATTACCTGGCTATGGTAGGTCCTGCTGTGTATAAGTTTTACACTGCCTACTTACCATAGTTCCTACATGTGCTATAGTGGTTTAATTAAGTGACATCACAGACACTGAAGATTTTTTTTCTATTCTCTCAGACTTACGAGGAGAATAAACATTATCAAATGGATGCTGTTTTTGAAAGAACTTTTGTAATGTGTTTACACATTATAAATGGTGCTGTGTAACTTATGCTGAAGTAACTGAAACAAGGCAGCAAACTTTATGAAATTCAAAAAGTAACATTTGTGGTTACGCTTAAATCCTTTAAAAAAGAAAGACAGATCCCTATGTACATAAAATAATTCTACAACTTCTATACCTCAAGGGCTTTTATACTTCATGCTTGATATATATATATAGTCAAGAAATAACTGAGATTAAGCAGAGGCTGTGCTTGTTCAATGAGTATCACTAAATATTTTCCTGACCTCTGGATTGTAGTTCCGCTGTTGAGATGATCAATTGTTTGCGTTTATTTTCTTCCTAGCAATATCAACTCCTAAGTAAAGAAGTGGAATTTTATGGGATAAAAGTTATCTCAGATATGTTTTACATATCCTTTACCTTTTTCACTTGTGTTTTGTTTATTCACAATATAAAACTGATTAGTGATAGGCTGAATGGAATGTAAAATTCACTTTGAATTCAAATGAATATGAATTCAGCATAGATTTTTATGTATATTCTGCATTTCCCAAGATTGGAAAAGAAAATATACATATATATAAAAAAATGATGTCACTATTGAGGTACTATCATAAGGCTTGAATTATACTAAGGAAGGCAGTTTATAAACATGAAACAGAGTGACAGACTTTCTCCTTAAGGGTTACAAACTACACATTAGAGAAGATACAACTGTTTGCTACAAGAAATAGACAGGGCAAGTGTTTCATATCTATTGGTTTGATGTTGTAATTCTTATTCAGAAAAACTTCCACTGAAATGAAAAATTCAGAGGAAGCATTGTCTGATGAAGGTGTGTGAGATCAAGTGATTTTTTTTTTTATTATTCGAATATCACCAGGAAGCAAAGGCAACTGGCTTTATCTCACCAGGGAGTAAGATTCTGTTATCAGAAAATGTCTAATTTTAACTCCTTGACTAACAGTATTTTGATGTCTTTTGATATGATGTGTTAACTGCATCTGGAATTCTTGGCTTAAGCTCCAAAGAAAGTTTTTCCTATTGTTGTCACTGCCATTCTTCCACCAAAATTGAATTTAATTTTTCACTTATTTTATCAATTAGATGTGTTTGTGATATAATTTCCTTTGTAATTAATAAAGCATGAGAATTTTTAATAGAATCATGGAATTCTTCATGTTGGAAAGGACCTTTAAGACCATTTAGTCCAACTGTTAAACCAGCTTTGCTGTGTTCATCACTAAACCACATTCCCAAGTGCCAGATCTACACATCTTTTGCATACTTCCAGGGATGATAATGCCATCAGTTCCCTGGGCAGCCTGTTCCAGTGTCTGACAACTCTTTCAGTGAAGAAATTTTTCCTAATTTCCAACGTAAACCTTCCCTGGTGTAACTTGAAACCACTTCCTCTTCTCCTATCATTTACTAGTTGGGAGAAGAGACTGATCCCTACCCCTCTGCAATGTCCTTCCACGTCGTTGTAGAGAGCAGTAAGGTCTCCCATGAGCCTCCTTTTCTCCAGGCTAAACAACCCTATAAGACTTGTGTTCCAGACCCTTCACCAGTTTTGTTGCCCTTCTCTGGACACACTCCAGAACCTCAATGTCCTTTTTGTAGCAAGGGGCCCAAAGCTGAACACAGGATTCCAGGTGAAACCTCAACAATGCCAAGACCAGGGGGACGATCACTGTCCTAGTCCTGCTGGCCACACTATTTCTGATACAGGCCAGGATGCCACTGGTTGTCAACCAGCACCCTCAAGTCCCTTTCTGCTGAGCAGCTTTCCAGCCACTCTGCTCCCAACCTGTAGCGCTGCATGGGGTTGTTGTGACCCAAGTGCAGGACCTGGCGCTTCACCTTATTGAACCTCATGCAGTTGTTCTCGTTCCACTGATCCAGTCTGTCAAGATCCCTCTGTAGGGCCTTCCTCTCCTCCAGCAGATCAACACTCCTGCCACCCAACTTGGTGTCATCTGTAAACTTACTGAGAGTGCACCAAACTCTCCAAAGGGGAACTTTTCATCACATATTTTTCAACTTTCTGAGAAAGGGACAATTTTGATTACATGTAAAATAAGGCACTGACAAAACCTGACTCCCCTGAAAAATTTGAAATTATTTGTAACTAGTAATTCTCATCTCTTTGGTTAATATGATTTCATTTTTTGTATGAGGAGGTTTCACTGTATTTGCTGTGAATTCTTGGATACTTGCAAATGTCTCTCTGGTAGAACTCCTATGATCTTAATCAGAATTCACAATTCATTCCTCATGTCCAGTTTCTCTCTTTACTGAGCTTAATTTTTTATGTAAGAAAAGTTAGAAAAAGACACAAAATTTTCTGAGTTACAATCTGTTGTAGACTAATAAATTATTATATATTGTTAGATTATGCTTTATTGCCCTTACCAAAAGGATTTTAAAAGTATAGGAATATAGTGTATCCTTGTCTTACCAATATAGAAATTAATAAATTACTATAAGCCCAGGTTTAAACTCTTTACTATATTAAAGAAACTTCCAATTTTAGCTTGCGGTACAAATTATTAAAGAATTATTTTAACGTAGTTTTAGATTTTTCCATATTTGTGACATTATCGCTCATTTTGTATTTAATTACGTTTTTTTAAGGCCTAATTGTTTTAACCAAATTACCTGAAAAGCTTAGTTTTTATTACAAAATGTGTTACTTCTAAACCCCATGACAGTGAAAAAGCTTAATGACACGAAACATAAAACATTAGATCCCACACAATAGAAAAAGTAACACAGTGTCTATTGCTTTTGAATTAATCTGATTTTAAGTCAGTGTCTTGGTTTGTGAACATGTATGTTTGGCAATACTGGATCCCCAATCTGTTGTGGAGCAGCTCTGTTATTGTTTAGTTTTTAAAATCAGATTTTCCAATTTGATAAGTATTTTTCTTTCATTTTGCTATGTGAAAGAACCACACCCACAAAAGAATTTTACCACATGGGCAAAACAGTGAAGCTGTATGCAATACTGACAAAAATTATGAAACAGTTGATATCAAACAATGTTTTTCTTTTTTATTTTTCAGTTTTTAGTAACTGCATATATAAATGTGGGGGTTTATTTTAATAAGATACTAGGTAAACATGTTGGACAGGATTGTATCATTCTTTATTGTTTTAACTGGCTGCACTTACCAAAGATCTGCACATGAACATAGCAAATTTTATACAATTGGCAGGAAAGCAACTCTAGACACTGGAGATGGAAGAATGCTTTGCGTCCCCTGGCCAGTGTAGTCCTTTGGTAACGGAATACTGCAGGAAATATCGCTTTCAGGGAATATTTCAGAGAATACTGCTGGGAAAGCTTGCACTTGCTGAATTGGACTTGAGAAAGTATTACACTTGCAAAATTTGGCTTTTGACATTAGAATGTGCACTTGTGATTTAATGACACAGAGGGCTGATACATTTGAATTTTTTCATGATACATTATGAAGGATCAAAATCTACTCCTTGTAGTCAGTAAGAGTTCGCATTTTTTCCTGTATCATTTTAACCCACAAATGGATGATGAGTTTTAGCCTGTTGGATTTACCTGCTGACTTCATGGATTAGCTGCCAGATGACTGTCGCCTTGTCTTGCAAAGCTGTTGTGTGCCTGCTTTGGTTTTGAGTTTCGTCAATACTGATAATAGTTCCATGATGATAAGTTTTGATCAGCAATTTTCATGTTCAATTTTTGTCCTAATAGATGTGGCTTTGGAATCATTGTTTGAAATCTGATGGGCTGGATGCTGCCACAAAACTGCTTTCTGCTTACCTGGTGAATTTAGTAAATTTTTCCAAAGACTTTTAACTTTCTTCATTAAAAGAAAACCATCAACTTCCCACATAAAAACTTTGCCAGTACAGTTACCTACAGATAACTCTCAGACTAGAGACTAGTAAAGGCTGAAGGTAGAGATAATAGCTGAAAGTTTCACTTGTATCTTTTCTGTCTTGTGTAGTCCTGTTTTAAGTGCCTTCTGCTGACACTCTTGGAAAAACTTACCACTGGCATTTCATGTAAGGATCAATCATCCTTTTTTGGAAATGAATTTTGAAGTCTTGCTCTTTTGAAGATAGCAAAAGAAAAAAATTAAATTAACATTGGAGGTGAAAGTTTGCCAATTCTAATCATAGCTAGAAAGATTTTTTTAGGATTTCCTATTTCGCTCATATTTTCTTTCTTTTGGCCAGTGTTAAAATATCCTTCATAATGAAGAACTTGTCTTGCAGATTTTCATTCTTGTCTCTTTGACTTA